TTTATCACAAAACGTCCCTGACATTTACGAAACTATCAGATTGCATCCTTAAAGTTTTTTTGTATCACTCATGGTCCCTAACGTTAATATGAGTGCTCTTAAATGGTCCTTCTGTCAACAAAAACTGTTAAATCCAAGGATATAATCGTCAAATCAATCCAAAATTATAAAATATATATTTTTTATTTCCTTCCCTCCCTTCTTTCTTCTTCTTCTTCTTCTCTCTCCGCCAATATCTATTCTTCTGCTTCTCTTTACCTTCTTATAGGTCAGCAGTGTATTCTAACAGGAGGAGGATGCCAAAATTAGCTTTGCTTGTCTCTCATCCATTCAACAAAATTATCTATAATCACAGGCCATGCTTGATCCGAATCATAGTTTTGAAGGTCCGGAAAACTTATCTGCCAAAAGTAAAGATTCATTGAATTAAAACAACTCAGTCACAGAGAGAGAGAGAGAGAGAGAGAGAGAGAGAGAGAGAGAGAGGTGTTGGGTTCTATAGAAGTCAGAAAGTTAGATCCAGGTACAGGAAGAGCTAATATCCCTCGAATGGAGGTTTTCATTTTTATATTCCCATTTTGGGCTATTGTTTAGTGTTTAAGAGTTTAAACTATCAAATAGGTCAATTAGACTTGAGATTATTCCTGAGTGCATTCTGATTCATCACACAACTCACTGATTGCATACTTATAAATTATTCCCGAGTGCTTCAAAACCTTTACTTTACCTTGATAATACCCATGCCCTGCTCTTGCTGTAAAACAAGGCCGTGAGGGTAGCCATGAGAAGCCATCAAACAAAGCTTATCTGCCATGGCCGAGAGAAACCAGTTTCAGAAACGAAATTTCTCTCCTTTTTGGTGCGTCGTGCCTCTTCTTCACACCACCATAAACTGATCCATTCCTAGACCTCAAAACCCAAGATTTCTCACAATTTGGTCTTTTTCATTTTGAGCTGCAGCCACACATAATAAAAATCGAAAATAACAAAGTCGGATTTTATGTCATCCAGTTGTTTGATCGATAAATTTCTGATCTCAGAATCCAGGTAGGATTTCTCACGTCAGACAAAAAGTGTTTGTTTTCTTCCACCTTGCTAGGAAAGAAGAAAAAGGAGAGAGTGACAGAGGATAGGAGAAAAAAAAAAAGAGAAACAGAGAGAGAAGAGATAATCTGGCGGAGAGAAAGAAGAAGAGAAGAAAAGAAAGAGAGAAAGGGAAGGAATTTTTATTTATTTATAATTTTGGATTGAATGACGATTATATCCCTGAATTTAACAGTTTTTTTGACAGAGGGACTATTTAAGAGCACCTACATTAACGTTAGGGACCATAAATGATACAAAAAAACTTTAAGGATGCAATCTGATAGTTTCGCAAACGTCAGGGATGTTTTGTGATAAAAAGCCATGTTGTAATTGATTAATACTCTTACATTTTAACTTACTAAATCGTATTAATGCACAACTGATATTTGATATCATCATAGACAAATCATATATATATTTGCTACTCTGACAAAAAATATATATAGGGTTTGAACATTGTTTTCTCAATGTGTGTAATGTATTATTTATTTATTTATGTTAGCTTACTTTTCAGGATAATGTCTAGTTTGACAATTTTGATTAACTACAATGGGAAGTGGGTTAACTCACAATAAAAATTGCAAAACTAAAGGACTACTTGTTTCAAATAAAATTATGTTAGAGGAGCTTCACAATAAGGTGTATGACATTGTATAAATGTGGATTGAAATGAGTATGAGATAACTATGAAAGTCATATATGATGCAATGAAAAGTGCATGGCCTGCAGAAATAGTTGATGATGATGACATGAGAGCTTTTATTTTTGAAAGTCTTTCAAGGAATTACAAGATTTCATTGTGTGTTACATTGAAGCGTAAAATATTTTCTTATGGAAGTGGAAGCAATCAACCAATGCCAATGGACCTCAACTTGGATACTCAAGCTGATTTAGATGATAATGATCAATATAGATCATGATTCAGAAAATGACTTGGAAAATGCAGAAATTGAGGACTCATAATATGAAGAGAATAATACAACACAACTAGATAAGTTGCTTTTTGAGAAAGAAGTTGATAATGTGTTCCAAGATAATGTTGAATTAAATGACTTGCCTCATGAAAACATGGGATGTGATGATGTTCCAGCTGTCAATGTGCACTATGATGAACCAAACTCCAATAAATCAAATGCTTGGAACAAGGATAAAAACAATGTACATGGATCAGACATGACATAGCTCTGCAATGCAAGTGGAGATATAATTGTAGGTCAAGTGTATGAGACTATGAAAGATTTAAAAATAAAGTTGGGTATTGATGCTATGACGAAAAATTATGAGTTCAAAGTGAAGAGATTCAATTTGAAGTTGGTTGTGTCAATGATCGATGCATGTGGAAACTGCGCGCATCCAAGGTACGAAAATCCTAATATTTCATGGTCCAAAAATATTTCACTAAACACTCATTGGATGCTATTCATTGCCATCATCGACATGCAAGTAGTTCTCTTATTGGCCAATGAATAAAATCTAAGTACGCTGGTGTATCACGAGTACATAGACCCCACGACATCATGGAGGATATGCGAAAGGACATGGGTGTGAGTACAATTTATGTGAAGGCTTGGAGATCTAGGAAACATGCACTAGAGTTGGTTAGGGGATCACCAATCTTATGTGATACTTCCATCATATTGTGCTATGTTGAAGCCACAAATCTTGGCACGATAACTCATATTGAAACTGAAGGTAATAATCATTTTATGTATCTTTTCATGTCACTTGGACCTTGCATCAGAGGATTTTGCATTGTTATCAGGCCAATAATAGCACTTGATGGAACATTTTTAAAAGGTAAATTTCGTGGGACATTGTTTGTTGCCACAAGCAAGGATGGAAATAACCAAACATACCCTATTGCATTCGGAGTTGGAGATTCGGAGAATGGTGCATCATGGAATTGGTTTTTGACAAAATTACGGGGAGCTATTGGGGATATTAATGACTTAGTTTTCATTTCTGATAGACATGAAAGCATTTGTAAGGTTATCTCCACTATATTTCCTGATGCTCATCATGGGGCATGCATAGTCCATATAAGTCAGAATCTTAAGAACCATTTTAAGCATGAGAGAGTGCATTCACTGTATTTTAGAGTTGCTAAAGCATATATTGTTCATGAATTTGATCGTCTTATGATGCAAATATTTAATGTTGAATTTAAAGTGGGTGATCTGTTTCTCTCTCCTATACCTTATCTCTCTCAAATGTGTTGCTTGCCCTATTACCTTGATGTATTCCCATGAAGAATTGCTTATTTCTTGGCTCCGACGACCCCTTCTCTTTAGGGGGAGAGGGGGAGTAAAGAGAAGTTGTGCCTTCGTGAATTAGCTAAAGTTGATATGGAATAATTTGTCATTGTTTTCAACTATCGTTTCTGTGGTCATTGCTCATGCCGTTGATGTTGCCTTTGTTTGCTTCACTTAACGTTACTATGGTCATTGCCAATGATGTTGCTGTGTTTTGATCCATCTCTCCCAAAAAAAAAAATAAAAAAATCCTAACCCTAAACAGTACCTATTTCCGCTGCACTATACACCTAACCTATAATCCTAGCCCACCACCACTGTCTACCATGCTACTATCGCCACCGCCTACCTTGCTATTGCCTTACCTATTATCGTGCTTACAAGGTTTCTGTGTTCTGCCTTATCTACTGCCGTGCTCACAAGGTTTCTGTGTTTTGCCTTATCTATTGTCGTGCTCACATGGTTTCTGTATTCAGCCTTATCTACTGCCGTGCTCATAGGGTTTTTGTGTTCTGCCTTATTTACTGCCGTGCTCACAGGGTTTCTGTGTTCTACCTTATCAACTGCCGTACTCACATGGTTTTTGTGTTCTGCCTTATCTACTGCCGTCCTCACAGGGTTTCTGTGTTCTGCCTTATCTACTGTTGTGTTCACAAGGTTTCTGTGTTCTGCCTTATCTATTGTCATGGTCACAAGGTTTCTGTGTTCAGCCTTATCTACTGCCGTGCTCATAGGGTTTTTTTGTTCTGCCTTATCTACTACCGTGCTCACAGGGTTTCTGTGTTCTACCTTATCTACTACCGTGCTCACAGGATTTCTGTGTTCTACCTTATCTACTGCCATGGTCACATGGTTTCTGTGTTCTACCTTATCTACTGCCATGCTCACAGGGTTTTTGTGTTTTGTTTTTATGTGTTCTTCTATGTGCCCTATTTGTTAGGGTTTGTCAGATGTTTCATTTGTGGTTTATGACAAGGCCTATAGTTGTTCGATTGGTCAATGTTGAGTATGGTGTTCTATGATTTGCTTGTCAAGTTGGGCGTGCGAAATATCTTTGCCCCAATTTGAGAGGGAGTGTTGGCGAGTCCTTAGTTAGAATTTTGGTTCCTTATTTAGTTAGAATTTTGTTTACTTACCAATTATTATTCAGTCCTATTGTAATAGAGATTTATTTCATATTGTAATTTAGATATATTTCATATTTTATTTAGGGTTAACACATCTTTGTATTTGTATAAATACCTCCATATTGGAGAAGAATAATAATATGAGCGTATATGAGCATAATTGAATATTTGCCCTACTTTGTTTCAGTATTCCCTCTCTGTTCGCAAATGATAAACACAAAATGATTAGATGAAAGCAAACTAGTAGCTCTAACACCACAATCTCACTCTTTATTAATTCCCTCTCTCTCACCTTCCCAACAAGGACAGACATGCTAACTGCGAAGGTTGTATGTAACTGATTAAATAATTATCACCCTCCTCACCTAAATCCCTCATCTCCCACCACTTATAAAAACCCTCTCCATTCCCCCCAAAACTCATATCAAACACTTGCACAAAATATCAAACACCTTGTGCAAGCACCACTCCTGCATTGGCATTAATTGTTTTCAAGCAAATTAAGAAGCCAAAACACGCCACACTCAAAAACATGATGATGAAGCTTCAGAATCAGCCTCTTTTCTCACTCACACTTATACTCATCTTCCTTTCCCATTGCACCAAAATCATATCCCAAGCTCCTGCTGCTGCTCCGGCTGCTCCTGCCGCCCCAGCTACCCCAGCTGCCCCAATTGCCCCAGCTGCCCCTATTGCCCCAACTGCCCCAGCAATTACAGGGCCAGCAGTTCCAGCACCACCAGCAGATGCCCCTGCACCTGCAGGCCCAACCAACATCACCAAAATCCTTGAAAAAGCAGGTGGCTTCAATGTCTTAATCCGCCTTTTGAAAAGCACCCAAGTAGACAACCAGCTCTACAGCCAACTCAACAACTCAAATAGCCAACTCACCGTTTTAGCCCCCACTGACAGTGCCTTCTCAAAGCTCAGCACAGGCTCACTCAACTCGTTGAGTGATGAGCAAAAAGTCCAGCTTTTACAATTCCATCTGATCCCAGATTTTCTCACAATTCAAAACTTCCAAACTCTCAGCAACCCAGTGAGGACCCAAGCTGGAGATGGATTTGAGTACCCACTAAACATTACCACATCAGGCAAGGCAGTTAACATATCAACTGGTCTTGTCAACACCTCCATTTCAGGCACTGTCTACTCTGATAGTCAAATTGCTATTTACCAACTTGACAGTGTGCTCCAGCCTTATGGTGTTTTTGCTCCCAAGCATCACCCACCTTCACCGGCACCGGCTCCGGTGCAAGAGAAGCCTAAAAAGACGTCATCATCTGATGACAGTCCTGTTGCTGAATTGACGAAGTCTGGTGCTGTGCCTACTCTGATCCCCAAACTTAATGGCGTTGTTTCCATTGTAGTTTCTGTGGTTGCTGCTGCAGCATTAAGCTTTTTGTGACAGAATTGTTTGTTCCAATTGGATTTGGATTGAATTTGAAGGGTAATGATGTACAGTGACTGGTTTGGAATAATTGTTGTTGTTGAATTTTTCATTGGGTTCTTATCTGTTTTGTTCTTTGTATCTGTAATATTTTCATTTGTATTCATCTTCGGTTCTGTGTATTTTGAGAAACTTGTGTTAATTCTTCTACAAAATTAGTACATGCGTCTTGATCAATCCTTTTTCACTTTTGGAGTACAATTTTGAATGTATTTTTAGAATATATATATATATATAACAAAAACATAAATTGTACTACCCTAAAACTTATAAATAAAACCCAAATGATCCCTTATCAAATGTACTTAAAATGTAAATTCTAGAAAACCAATTATAATGAAACCAAAACTGCACTGCAGAATTTCAGCCAAACACTCTAGAACTACCTCCAAAACTATAATCGATCATCAACCTATAACAAATCATAATCCTTATAATAATAAATAAAAAACAACAATTGCAATCAACTATTAATTTTATAACAAAGTAATGTAGATACAATGAAGTGAAACAAACACAAAAACTACAATCAACTACTAATATAAAACAAAACAATGTAAAAAAAAAAAAAATTGAATAAACTACTACTCTAAAGCAAAACAATGTAGATATCAATGAAGTAAAACGAACACAGAAACTTTTCAATCATTTATAACTCTAAGAAAAACACAACAAAAACAAAAATTGCAAAAAGACAAAAAAAGCAATCAACTACTACTGTGTCACAAAATAATATAGATATCAATGAAGTGACACAAAAATAGTAATGAAAAAAACAAACAGAAATTTCAATCAACTACTATTTTATAACAAAATAATTTAGATGTCAATGAATTGAAAAGAAAAAAAGAAACTGTAAGTAGAAAAAAGAACATAACTAAAACTAAAATGATCCCTAAACAAATGTACTTAAAACGCAAACAACGCAACAATTTTATGGAAAAATTGTACTGAAATCGAAACTGTATTGTAGAATTTGAGTCAAAGACTCTCGAACAACCCCCAAAACAACAATCGATCATCAACCTATAAAAAACATAACCCAAACCACCTCCCTAAATTGAAAACAAAACTAAAAGCCAAAAGCAACCAAACTGAATTGCAAGAGCAAAAACACATTCACATAGCTAACAGAAATTACGATAAAATACTATCAAATTCAAGTGATATCAGTGAAGTAAACAAAAACAAAAATTGCAAACAAAAAAAGAAACTGCAACAAAAAACAAGAATTGCAATAAACTACTCTATAATAAAACAATGTAGATATTAATAATATAAACCATAACAAAAACAAAAATAAAAACCAATTTTGACTGTTTCGGACTTGTAAGTACACTTTGCAATCACACAAACCTCTATTACCCTTGAAAATGAAAAAATAAAATAAAATAGTAAAAAATCACTAGACATAAACAACAATGCATTTTAGGATCTTGCAGCATTAGTTTATCTTCTTGCAGCACCGGGTAAGCAACATCCCAAAGAAAATAAAAACTAAAAACTACAAGCCTCTAGCCAGTATGGGAAAACCTAACACAATCAAATCATCATATCATGACGAGTCTACTCGTTTGGGACTGCTTCTTTAGGAAGCACTTCTACTTATAAGCGCTTCTATCAAAAGTGCTTTTATAATAAAGACGTTGAAATTTTCATAAGAAATCGAAGTGCTTCTTGGAAAAGCACTTGGGAATGCTTCCTGAAGAAGCACATGGCAGTTGCTTCTCCAGAAAGCGCTTCTAAACTTTTTGCCAAACGCTGTAAGAAGCGCTTTTGGTTGTCAGAAAGCGCTTTTAACTGTTCCAGAAGCACTCCCAAACGGGCCCGACTTAACTAAGTAACAAACAACATAAACAAATCAAATCAACAAATAAAAAATATAAACTACAATGCATCACATAGAAAGAAGTAGCCTAAAGAAATCAAAACGAAACATAATCAGCAAAAAAACGAAAAACAAAAAAGATCAAAATTGTAAACGAACAACAAATTCAATGTACTCGTACCTCAACAGAAAATTCTACGAAATCCCCCAACCAAACAGCACCTAAAAAAAGCAAGAACAAAAATAAAAACTACATCAAAGAGTTGAAAAATCAACTTATAAAAACTGATATGATAAAGAAAATACATACCTCAACAATAGAAAAACAGAGCTTCACGTCAAAACTGAAACAACAATAGAAAGGAAGATTGAACCACAAAAATCACTTTAGAACAAAGAAAAACGAAAAAAGAGAAGAAAACAAACACAATCGCACCAGACCACAGAATAGCAGAGATCATATCACACGCCAAAACTGAGCTTGATCTGGATAAAATTGCAACATTAGGAAGAAAATCTAAAAATAAATATAAAAACCACAAAAAATAACCAAAATTAATATGAAAAATCATGGTTCCACCCTTAGGGTTTAGGGATGCATTGTGTATTAATATATGAAAAAGACATATTCTTTTCGCTACCCAAAAATATGTTTCTATATATTATGGTTTAAAAAAAAATTTAAGACCACATGAAGAAAAAACACTCCAAACAAAATGTAATCAAAATAGATACTTGATAATTGCATCGAAGAATCACCATCTCAAATTACCTAAAACAAAGAAAACCATCTAGAAAAGTAAATTCTTCTATTTGATTAACTCAAATTGTACTGTTGTATACCTTAGGAGAACTCTAGTCACATATCGTATTTGTTTAATAAAGAGAGGCTCAGAGAGAGATTGAGAAGAAAGAGAGGGAGCTAGAGCAGAATAATATGAGAAAGAGAAGATAATTTTCGGGACTTAAGGTTCGTACGCAACCACTATGTTAATTTTAAGGGGAGGAAGTTAATAGAAGAAAATTTTAATTAGAAACAAAACAAGCTTTAGGCTTTTGTGGAGGTAAATCCTGAACCCCAAATGATTAGATAAAAGCAAATTAACTAGTTGCTCTAACGCCACAATCTAACTAGGCAAATCCTAAACACCAAATGATTAGATGAAAGCAAACTAGTAGCTCTAACACCACAATCTCACTATATATTCATTTCCTCTCTCTCACCTTCCCAACAAAGACAGACATGCTAACTGCGGAGGTTGTATAACTGATAAAATAATTATCACCCTCCTCACCTAAATCCCTCATCTCCCACCACTTACAAAAACCCTCTCCATTCCCCCCAAAACTCATATCAAACACTTGCACAAAATATCAAACACTACCTTGTGCAAGCACCACTCCTGCATTGGCATTACTTGTTTTCAAACAAATTAAGAAGCCAAAACCCACCACACTCAAAAACATGATGATGAAGCTTCAGAATCAGCCTCTTTTCTCACTCACACTTCTACTCATTTTCCTTTCCCATTGCACCAAAATCTTAGCCCAAGCTCCTGCTGCTGCCCCTGCTGCCCCAAGAGCCCCAGCTGCCCCAGCTGCCCCTAGAGCCCCAGCTGCTCCTGCTGCCCCAAGAGCCCCAGCTGCCCCATCAATTACAAGGCCAGCAGTTCCAGCACCACCAGCTGATGCCCCTGCACCTGCAGGCCCAACCAACATCACCAAAATCCTTGAAAAAGCAGGTGGCTTCAATGTCTTAATCCGCCTTTTGAAAAGCACCCAAGTAGACAACCAGCTCTACAAACAACTCAACAATTCAGATAGCGAACTCACCGTTTTAGCCCCCACTGACAGTGCCTTCTCAAAGCTCAGCACAGGCTCACTCAACTCTTTGAGTGATGAGCAAAAAGTTCAGCTCATACAATTCCATCTGATCCCAGATTTTCTCACATTCCAAAACTTCCAAACTCTCAGCAACCCAGTGAGCACCCAAGCTGGAGATGGATTTGAGTATCCACTAAACATTACCACATCAGGCAGGGCAGTCAACATATCAACTGGTCTTGTTAACACCTCCATTTCAGGCACTGTCTACTCCGATAGTCAAATTGCTATTTACCAAGTTGACAGTGTGCTCCAGCCTTATGGTGTTTTTGCTCCCAAGCATCACCCACCTTCACCAGCACCAGCTCCGGTGCAAGAGAAGCCTAAAAAGACGTCATCATCTGATGACAGTCCTGTTGCTCAATCGACGAAGTCTGGTGCTGTGCCTACTCTGATCCCCAAATCTAATGGCATTGTCTCCATTGCAGTTGCTATGGTTGCTGCTGCAGCATTAAGCTTTTGTTGACAAAATGGTTTGTAGGGTAATAATTGTTGTTTTGCATGTCAGAAATGTGATCTGTATGTGAGATTAATACTGTTTTGTTGAATTTCATTGGGTTCTTGTTTTGTTTTGGTTTTTTGTATCTGTAATAGTAATTTCATTTGCATTTCATCTTGGGCTTCTGTTTATTTTGAGAAACTTGTGTAAATTCCTCCACAAAATGAGTACATGGGTCTTTTTGATAATTCATCATTTTTCACTTTGGAGTACCATTTTGAATGTATTTTAGAATAAGAGCGATCGTGAATGGTAAACTAAATACGAAAAACTCTAACCTATTGCTAAAACTAACCTATTGCTTGAATTCATAAAAATTCAAGCTATCCATATGCTATAAAAATCGTCTTAGAATCAATCATACATGAAATCATACAATACATAAGAAGAAATGGGAAAAAGTAGTTTCTACATATAAATTAGCTGCACGAGAAGCGGTAACATTGTTTTGACATCATGACCTCTTTAGTATTTCTGAGGCCCAAGGTGAACCTTTGAACTCTTTTTTGGTTTTTGGAGAAATTATGTGATTGCATTCATAATTTAGTCAAAAAAGCCACTAGCCACAAATGGCCATTACAATAACTGAGCAATCTAACATCAAAATTAAGACAATTTGGTGCGTCTCCATTAACGATCACACAGGATCGAAGAAACTCTGGCATAGGCATCCCAACTAAGATTGCAAACTCAGAATAAAAAAAAAATTAAAGCCAAAACAATACAAATAAAACTCTCACAAAGGAGAGATGAAAA